CTTTACCGCCCATTTTAAGTCAAAAGAAGGATCTGGTATATTATATAAGAATGTACAACCTAATACACAAATCATTTATTATGATAATCCAAATGAGTTAGTGTCTAGGCTTGCTCTTTTAATGGCTTCTAAAGAGGCTGGGAATACAGGTGTAAGTAATGAAATAATATCAATAATTGAAGAACTACGTGAACGAAACATTATTGTTTAATTTAAAAAAAAAAAAAAATATATATATATATAAACATTACCACTCCTCTATACAATTATTTATACTTTCTTCTAAAAAGTATTTTTTTAACGAATTTAAATTTAAATTAAAAAAAATATATGGTATATTTTTAGAATTAATTATTAACAAATCATATTTTTGAATTAAAGCATCCACCCATTCATCGATTTCTTCCCAGCTTAATTTTTCTTCTTCATCGTCTTTCTGAATCAATAAGTCTTTTCTATACCTATAATATTTTAATATATGGTTTAAAAATAGAAGATGTTTTACATTTTTTTATATTACCAATAATCAATTTGTTCATCTTCTTCAACATCATCCTCATCTTCTATCTTCAACTCCTTAAAATAGTCTTTAATCAGTCTAATTTTCTCAGTATGTTTTAAATGGTCCGGGATCCAAGGAACATAATCACAACATGATATATTTTCCAAGTTGTAATTGAAAATAGTTTGGTTTATAAATTTTTGATCGTTAATGCAAATTAAAATGGAAAAAGTGTACATATTTAAAATATTGTTTATGCTTTTGATGGCAAAGAAACAAATTGTTTCATGTTTGATATTTGAAAGTACATATAAGGTACTACTTCTGGTCTTATTAAGGAGTCACAAAATCTTAATTTAAAGGTTTAACTATGATGTCTAACTATTAGTTCAGTAATTAGGACTTTTTTTCTGACATAAATTGGATACACATCGTATTTGGGCTCATAAAAGTTTTTTAAATACACGCTTTTATTGGTCTGCTCTTCTTGCTCCTCTAAATCCGGTCTTAAATTCATAGTACCATAACTGGTTTCGTTCAAATGGGTTTCATACAGTGATTCTCTAAAGTTGTTACTTTCAACGTGTGCTTGATGTCCTATGCAAGTTAAAATTTTAGTTAACATAATTATTTTATTTCAATTTTTAAAATAAAATATCAGCGGGAATTACCTGTAGAACTTTGTGACGCAATAGTTTCCAAATGATGGTACTGTAATGTGTTTTGATCATTCTGTAATTTTGACTCTTTACGCCACTTGACTCTTCGGTTTTGAATCCGAACCTAAGTAACAAAAAGTTGTACAATCAAACTTTCGACTTTCATACCCAAAATACAGATATTAGAGGGGGGGGGGGGTAGAAAGTTAAATCCCCGGGTAATATTTTTTTTACTCTCCCAATTTATTTTCAATAACGATATTTTTAGACGTTTTTTTGGCCATTAAAATAAAAATGTACTTAGCATCTTCATCTTTATGCATACTGCTGAATTAATTTGTTCTATTCTACCATGAACTCCAAAACATGTTTTTTTTTTAATTTTGGACACTTTCATGTAATTATTACATATAGAATTATATTATATTTAAAAGAACTTGATTGATATTAACCAAAAAGGCACTTACATTATCATAAAAGTAATTCCATCTCGTTACGATATGTTTTTACAACAAAACCTAAACAACTTTTGATAATGTCAGCTATGAAGAAAGAATTTGGCTCAGTGAAAATATCTTTGAATTATATCTTTAAAAATTTGTTCGACTTGGCTTCTTTTCCTGAGAACATTCTAATAAAGCTTCAAAATCCTAAATAAGGTATTAATCATAATATATTAAATTTAAACTACAAAAAGTTTAAGATCCGTGACATACGGTATTTATTGATAGAATATTTTAATATATACCTTTGTAGTTTATTGTGATTCTAGTTTTGCAAATGTTGGAATTTTTATCGAGGTAAATAAAATATTTAAACGAATTTGGGACTATTTAAAAAAATTTAAGTTGAGGTGCACACAATGTTTAAATATTGAGTGTTCTAACATTTCACAAAATGACATAACAAATGATTTTATTGATACTCTAACTTTTAATGTATTCAATTGGATTAGTAGTAGCAATATGGGCCTTTACCGCCCATTTTAAGTCAAAAGAAGGATCTGGTATATTATATAAGAATGTACAACCTAATACACAAATCATTTATTATGATAATCCAAATGAGTTAGTGTCTAGGCTTGCTCTTTTAATGGCTTCTAAAGAGGCTGGGAATACAGGTGTAAGTAATGAAATAATATCAATAATTGAAGAACTTCGTAAACAAAAAATTATTGTTTAATTAAAAAAAAAAAAAATATATATATATATATAAACATTACCACTCCTCTATACAATTATTTATACTTTCTTCTAAAAAGTATTTTTTTAACGAATTTAAATTTAAATTAAAAAAAAGAAATGGTATTTTTTTAGAATTAATTATTATTAAGTCATATTTTTTAATTATACTATCTACCCATTCATCTATCTCTTCCCAGCTTATTTGTACTTCTTCTTCTTCTTCTTCATCCTCTTTTTGATTCAGTAAATCCTTTTTATACCTATAATATTTTAATATATGGTTTAAAAATAGAAGATGTTTTACATTTTTTTATATTACCAATAATCAATTTGTTCATCTTCTTCAACATCATCCTCATCTTCTATCTTCAACTCCTTAAAATAGTCTTTAATCAGTCTAATTTTCTCAGTATGTTTTAAATGGTCCGGGATCCAAGGAACATAATCACAACATGATATATTTTCCAAGTTGTAATTGAAAATAGTTTGGTTTATAAATTTTTGATCGTTAATGCAAATTAAAATGGAAAAAGTGTACATATTTAAAATATTGTTTATGCTTTTGATGGCAAAGAAACAAATTGTTTCATGTTTGATATTTGAAAGTACATATAAGGTACTACTTCTGGTCTTATTAAGGAGTCACAAAATCTTAATTTAAAGGTTTAACTATGATGTCTAACTATTAGTTCAGTAATTAGGACTTTTTTTCTGACATAAATTGGATACACATCGTATTTGGGCTCATAAAAGTTTTTTAAATACACGCTTTTATTGGTCTGCTCTTCTTGCTCCTCTAAATCCGGTCTTAAATTCATAGTACCATAACTGGTTTCGTTCAAATGGGTTTCATACAGTGATTCTCTAAAGTTGTTACTTTCAACGTGTGCTTGATGTCCTATGCAAGTTAAAATTTTAGTTAACATAATTATTTTATTTCAATTTTTAAAATAAAATATCAGCGGGAATTACCTGTAGAACTTTGTGACGCAATAGTTTCCAAATGATGGTACTGTAATGTGTTTTGATCATTCTGTAATTTTGACTCTTTACGCCACTTGACTCTTCGGTTTTGAATCCGAACCTAAGTAACAAAAAGTTGTACAATCAAACTTTCGACTTTCATACCCAAAATACAGATATTAGAGGGGGGGGGGGTAGATAGTTAAATCCCCGGGTAATATTTTTTTTACTCACCCAATTTATTTTCAATAACGATATTTTTAGACGTTTTTTTGGCCATTAAAATAAAAATGTACTTAGCATCTTCATCTTTATGCATACTGCTGAATTAATTTGTTCTATTCTACCATGAACTCCAAAACATGTTTTTTTTTTAATTTTGGACACTTTCATGTAATTATTACATATAGAATTATATTATATTTAAAAGAACTTGATTGATATTAACCAAAAAGGCACTTACATTATCATAAAAGTAATTCCATCTCGTTACGATATGTTTTTACAACAAAACCTAAACAACTTTTGATAATGTCAGCTATGAAGAAAGAATTTGGCTCAGTGAAAATATCTTTGAATTATATCTTTAAAAATTTGTTCGACTTGGCTTCTTTTCCTGAGAACATTCTAATAAAGCTTCAAAATCCTAAATAAGGTATTAATCATAATATATTAAATTTAAACTACAAAAAGTTTAAGATCCGTGACATACGGTATTTATTGATAGAATATTTTAATATATACCTTTGTAGTTTATTGTGATTCTAGTTTTGCAAATGTTGGAATTTTTATCGAGGTAAATAAAATATTTAAACGAATTTGGGACTATTTAAAAAAATTTAAGTTGAGGTGCACACAATGTTTAAATATTGAGTGTTCTAACATTTCACAAAATGACATAACAAATGATTTTATTGATACTCTAACTTTTAATGTATTCAATTGGATTAGTAGTAGCAATATGGGCCTTTACCGCCCATTTTAAGTCAAAAGAAGGATCTGGTATATTATATAAGAATGTACAACCTAATACACAAATCATTTATTATGATAATCCAAATGAGTTAGTGTCTAGGCTTGCTCTTTTAATGGCTTCTAAAGAGGCTGGGAATACAGGTGTAAGTAATGAAATAATATCAATAATTGAAGAACTTCGTAAACAAAAAATTATTGTTTAATTAAAAAAAAAAAAAATATATATATATATATAAACATTACCACTCCTCTATACAATTATTTATACTTTCTTCTAAAAAGTATTTTTTTAACGAATTTAAATTTAAATTAAAAAAAAGAAATGGTATTTTTTTAGAATTAATTATTATTAAGTCATATTTTTTAATTATACTATCTACCCATTCATCTATCTCTTCCCAGCTTATTTGTACTTCTTCTTCTTCTTCTTCATCCTCTTTTTGATTCAGTAAATCCTTTCTATACCTATAATATTTTAATATATGGTTTAAAAATAGAAGATGTTTTACATTTTTTTATATTACCAATAATCAATTTGTTCATCTTCTTCAACATCATCCTCATCTTCTATCTTCAACTCCTTAAAATAGTCTTTAATCAGTCTAATTTTCTCAGTATGTTTTAAATGGTCCGGGATCCAAGGAACATAATCACAACATGATATATTTTCCAAGTTGTAATTGAAAATAGTTTGGTTTATAAATTTTTGATCGTTAATGCAAATTAAAATGGAAAAAGTGTACATATTTAAAATATTGTTTATGCTTTTGATGGCAAAGAAACAAATTGTTTCATGTTTGATATTTGAAAGTACATATAAGGTACTACTTCTGGTCTTATTAAGGAGTCACAAAATCTTAATTTAAAGGTTTAACTATGATGTCTAACTATTAGTTCAGTAATTAGGACTTTTTTTCTGACATAAATTGGATACACATCGTATTTGGGCTCATAAAAGTTTTTTAAATACACGCTTTTATTGGTCTGCTCTTCTTGCTCCTCTAAATCCGGTCTTAAATTCATAGTACCATAACTGGTTTCGTTCAAATGGGTTTCATACAGTGATTCTCTAAAGTTGTTACTTTCAACGTGTGCTTGATGTCCTATGCAAGTTAAAATTTTAGTTAACATAATTATTTTATTTCAATTTTTAAAATAAAATATCAGCGGGAATTACCTGTAGAACTTTGTGACGCAATAGTTTCCAAATGATGGTACTGTAATGTGTTTTGATCATTCTGTAATTTTGACTCTTTACGCCACTTGACTCTTCGGTTTTGAATCCGAACCTAAGTAACAAAAAGTTGTACAATCAAACTTTCGACTTTCATACCCAAAATACAGATATTAGAGGGGGGGGGGTAGAAAGTTAAATCCCCGGGTAATATTTTTTTTACTCTCCCAATTTATTTTCAATAACGATATTTTTAGACGTTTTTTTGGCCATTAAAATAAAAATGTACTTAGCATCTTCATCTTTATGCATACTGCTGAATTAATTTGTTCTATTCTACCATGAACTCCAAAACATGTTTTTTTTTTAATTTTGGACACTTTCATGTAATTATTACATATAGAATTATATTATATTTAAAAGAACTTGATTGATATTAACCAAAAAGGCACTTACATTATCATAAAAGTAATTCCATCTCGTTACGATATGTTTTTACAACAAAACCTAAACAACTTTTGATAATGTCAGCTATGAAGAAAGAATTTGGCTCAGTGAAAATATCTTTGAATTATATCTTTAAAAATTTGTTCGACTTGGCTTCTTTTCCTGAGAACATTCTAATAAAGCTTCAAAATCCTAAATAAGGTATTAATCATAATATATTAAATTTAAACTACAAAAAGTTTAAGATCCGTGACATACGGTATTTATTGATAGAATATTTTAATATATACCTTTGTAGTTTATTGTGATTCTAGTTTTGCAAATGTTGGAATTTTTATCGAGGTAAATAAAATATTTAAACGAATTTGGGACTATTTAAAAAAATTTAAGTTGAGGTGCACACAATGTTTAAATATTGAGTGTTCTAACATTTCACAAAATGACATAACAAATGATTTTATTGATACTCTAACTTTTAATGTATTCAATTGGATTAGTAGTAGCAATATGGGCCTTTACCGCCCATTTTAAGTCAAAAGAAGGATCTGGTATATTATATAAGAATGTACAACCTAATACACAAATCATTTATTATGATAATCCAAATGAGTTAGTGTCTAGGCTTGCTCTTTTAATGGCTTCTAAAGAGGCTGGGAATACAGGTGTAAGTAATGAAATAATATCAATAATTGAAGAACTACGTGAACGAAACATTATTGTTTAATTTAAAAAAATAAATAAATAATATAAATATCACTACACCTCCTCTATACAATTATATGTGTTGTCTTCTAAAAAGTATTTTTTAAGTGAATTTAAATTTAAATTAAAAAAAATATATGGTATATTTTTAGAATTAATTATTAACAAATCATATTTTTGAATTATAGCATCCACCCATTCATCGATTTCTTCCCAGCTTAATTTTTCTTCTTCATCGTCTTTCTAAATCAATAAGTCTTTTCTATACCTATAATATTTTAATATATGGTTTAAAAATAGAAGATGTTTTACATTTTTTTATATTACCAATAATCAATTTGTTCATCTTCTTCAACATCATCCTCATCTTCTATCTTCAACTCCTTAAAATAGTCTTTAATCAGTCTAATTTTCTCAGTATGTTTTAAATGGTCCGGGATCCAAGGAACATAATCACAACATGATATATTTTCCAAGTTGTAATTGAAAATAGTTTGGTTTATAAATTTTTGATCGTTAATGCAAATTAAAATGGAAAAAGTGTACATATTTAAAATATTGTTTATGCTTTTGATGGCAAAGAAACAAATTGTTTCATGTTTGATATTTGAAAGTACATATAAGGTACTACTTCTGGTCTTATTAAGGAGTCACAAAATCTTAATTTAAAGGTTTAACTATGATGTCTAACTATTAGTTCAGTAATTAGGACTTTTTTTCTGACATAAATTGGATACACATCGTATTTGGGCTCATAAAAGTTTTTTAAATACACGCTTTTATTGGTCTGCTCTTCTTGCTCCTCTAAATCCGGTCTTAAATTCATAGTACCATAACTGGTTTCGTTCAAATGGGTTTCATACAGTGATTCTCTAAAGTTGTTACTTTCAACGTGTGCTTGATGTCCTATGCAAGTTAAAATTTTAGTTAACATAATTATTTTATTTCAATTTTTAAAATAAAATATCAGCGGGAATTACCTGTAGAACTTTGTGACGCAATAGTTTCCAAATGATGGTACTGTAATGTGTTTTGATCATTCTGTAATTTTGACTCTTTACGCCACTTGACTCTTCGGTTTTGAATCCGAACCTAAGTAACAAAAAGTTGTACAATCAAACTTTCGACTTTCATACCCAAAATACAGATATTAGAGGGGGGGGGGGGTAGAAAGTTAAATCCCCGGGTAATATTTTTTTTACTCTCCCAATTTATTTTCAATAACGATATTTTTAGACGTTTTTTTGGCCATTAAAATAAAAATGTACTTAGCATCTTCATCTTTATGCATACTGCTGAATTAATTTGTTCTATTCTACCATGAACTCCAAAACATGTTTTTTTTTTAATTTTGGACACTTTCATGTAATTATTACATATAGAATTATATTATATTTAAAAGAACTTGATTGATATTAACCAAAAAGGCACTTACATTATCATAAAAGTAATTCCATCTCGTTACGATATGTTTTTACAACAAAACCTAAACAACTTTTGATAATGTCAGCTATGAAGAAAGAATTTGGCTCAGTGAAAATATCTTTGAATTATATCTTTAAAAATTTGTTCGACTTGGCTTCTTTTCCTGAGAACATTCTAATAAAGCTTCAAAATCCTAAATAAGGTATTAATCATAATATATTAAATTTAAACTACAAAACGTTTAAGATCCGTGACATACGGTATTTATTGATAGAATATTTTAATATATACCTTTGTAGTTTATTGTGATTCTAGTTTTGCAAATGTTGGAATTTTTATCGAGGTAAATAAAATATTTAAACGAATTTGGGACTATTTAAAAAAATTTAAGTTGAGGTGCACACAATGTTTAAATATTGAGTGTTCTAACATTTCACAAAATGACATAACAAATGATTTTATTGATACTCTAACTTTTAATGTATTCAATTGGATTAGTAGTAGCAATATGGGCCTTTACCGCCCATTTTAAGTCAAAAGAAGGATCTGGTATATTATATAAGAATGTACAACCTAATACACAAATCATTTATTATGATAATCCAAATGAGTTAGTGTCTAGGCTTGCTCTTTTAATGGCTTCTAAAGAGGCTGGGAATACAGGTGTAAGTAATGAAATAATATCAATAATTGAAGAACTTCGTAAACAAAAAATTATTGTTTAATTAAAAAAAAAAAAATATATATATATATATAAACATTACCACTCCTCTATACAATTATTTATACTTTCTTCTAAAAAGTATTTTTTTAACGAATTTAAATTTAAATTAAAAAAAAGAAATGGTATTTTTTTAGAATTAATTATTATTAAGTCATATTTTTTAATTATACTATCTACCCATTCATCTATCTCTTCCCAGCTTATTTGTACTTCTTCTTCTTCTTCTTCATCCTCTTTTTGATTCAGTAAATCCTTTCTATACCTATAATATTTTAATATATGGTTTAAAAATAGAAGATGTTTTACATTTTTTTATATTACCAATAATCAATTTGTTCATCTTCTTCAACATCATCCTCATCTTCTATCTTCAACTCCTTAAAATAGTCTTTAATCAGTCTAATTTTCTCAGTATGTTTTAAATGGTCCGGGATCCAAGGAACATAATCACAACATGATATATTTTCCAAGTTGTAATTGAAAATAGTTTGGTTTATAAATTTTTGATCGTTAATGCAAATTAAAATGGAAAAAGTGTACATATTTAAAATATTGTTTATGCTTTTGATGACAAAGAAACAAATTGTTTCATGTTTGATATTTGAAAGTACATATAAGGTACTACTTCTGGTCTTATTAAGGAGTCACAAAATCTTAATTTAAAGGTTTAACTATGATGTCTAACTATTAGTTCAGTAATTAGGACTTTTTTTCTGACATAAATTGGATACACATCGTATTTGGGCTCATAAAAGTTTTTTAAATACACGCTTTTATTGGTCTGCTCTTCTTGCTCCTCTAAATCCGGTCTTAAATTCATAGTACCATAACTGGTTTCGTTCAAATGGGTTTCATACAGTGATTCTCTAAAGTTGTTACTTTCAACGTGTGCTTGATGTCCTATGCAAGTTAAAATTTTAGTTAACATAATTATTTTATTTCAATTTTTAAAATAAAATATCAGCGGGAATTACCTGTAGAACTTTGTGACGCAATAGTTTCCAAATGATGGTACTGTAATGTGTTTTGATCATTCTGTAATTTTGACTCTTTACGCCACTTGACTCTTCGGTTTTGAATCCGAACCTAAGTAACAAAAAGTTGTACAATCAAACTTTCGACTTTCATACCCAAAATACAGATATTAGAGGGGGGGGGGGGTAGAAAGTTAAATCCCCGGGTAATATTTTTTTTACTCTCCCAATTTATTTTCAATAACGATATTTTTAGACGTTTTTTTGGCCATTAAAATAAAAATGTACTTAGCATCTTCATCTTTATGCATACTGCTGAATTAATTTGTTCTATTCTACCATGAACTCCAAAACATGTTTTTTTTTTAATTTTGGACACTTTCATGTAATTATTACATATAGAATTATATTATATTTAAAAGAACTTGATTGATATTAACCAAAAAGGCACTTACATTATCATAAAAGTAATTCCATCTCGTTACGATATGTTTTTACAACAAAACCTAAACAACTTTTGATAATGTCAGCTATGAAGAAAGAATTTGGCTCAGTGAAAATATCTTTGAATTATATCTTTAAAAATTTGTTCGACTTGGCTTCTTTTCCTGAGAACATTCTAATAAAGCTTCAAAATCCTAAATAAGGTATTAATCATAATATATTAAATTTAAACTACAAAACGTTTAAGATCCGTGACATACGGTATTTATTGATAGAATATTTTAATATATACCTTTGTAGTTTATTGTGATTCTAGTTTTGCAAATGTTGGAATTTTTATCGAGGTAAATAAAATATTTAAACGAATTTGGGACTATTTAAAAAAATTTAAGTTGAGGTGCACACAATGTTTAAATATTGAGTGTTCTAACATTTCACAAAATGACATAACAAATGATTTTATTGATACTCTAACTTTTAATGTATTCAATTGGATTAGTAGTAGCAATATGGGCCTTTACCGCCCATTTTAAGTCAAAAGAAGGATCTGGTATATTATATAAGAATGTACAACCTAATACACAAATCATTTATTATGATAATCCAAATGAGTTAGTGTCTAGGCTTGCTCTTTTAATGGCTTCTAAAGAGGCTGGGAATACAGGTGTAAGTAATGAAATAATATCAATAATTGAAGAACTACGTGAACGAAACATTATTGTTTAATTTAAAAAAATAAATAAATAATATAAATATCACTACACCTCCTCTATACAATTATATGTGTTGTCTTCTAAAAAGTATTTTTTAAGTGAATTTAAATTTAAATTAAAAAAAATATATGGTATATTTTTAGAATTAATTATTAACAAATCATATTTTTGAATTATAGCATCCACCCATTCATCGATTTCTTCCCAGCTTAATTTTTCTTCTTCATCGTCTTTCTGAATCAATAAGTCTTTTCAATAACAATTTTTTTGTTTTGTGTTTAAAAAAATATCACACCTTTTTGTAAACAATTAATGAATAACATAAAAATAAGTTACAGCGGTTACAGACAAAAAAATCATTGTTAAGTATGGTTTAATGTTATAAATTATATTAATAACTAACTAACTTAGAAAATGATTAAAGGTTATACATTATAATGCAAAATAAATTGGATACTCAACGTTTCTGGGCTCATAGAAGTTATTTAGGTATACACTTATATTTGTCTGCTCTTCTTGCTCCTCTAAATCCGGTCTTAAATTGATAGTACCATAACTGGTTTCGTTTAAATGGGCTCCATACAGTGCTTGATGTCCTATACAAGGTAAAATTTTAGTTAACATAATTATTTTATTGAAATTATTAAAATTAAATGTTGACGAGGTTACCTCTTAAATCGGCTTGCGCTTTAATATTATTCATTCGCCAGTTCTGCAACTTGTTGTGGTAATTTTGTAGATTCAAATCATTACGCAGCCTTGCTCTTCGGTTTTGAAACCAAATCTAAGTAACAAAAAAGTTGTACAATCAAACTTTCGACTTTCATACCCAAAATTCAGAGGTTAGGGGGGTTGAAAGCTAAATCCCCCGGTAATATTTCGTCGAAAACTTTAACAATACACGGTATTTTACAAATGAAATAGATAGATACTGTTTTAGTTAATCTATACATTTTTTTTTTATAATATTAAGTGGGATTGGGCTTTTATTAATTATTACTAAACATTTTTTGAATTATAAAATTTAGATTTTAATTTAATCATTTTTTTTCAAAGTGCTGGTGTATGTAAGTACTCTTAGGTAAATTGAGTTTACACGGGGTTGATTCCCTGAGAAACTCTATGAGGTACTGAACAACTTAGTTTGGAAAATATAGATATTATATGACGATGAGGAAGTGAAGACTAAGCTAAGTGTGATTATTTAAGTTCAAAGTGGCATAAATTAGAATACTACTGTAATATGTGCCATGTGTAGTATAAAAATGTTAGTGCACAATGAGACGAAAGGCGTAAAATAATGTAACGACAGTTAAATGTACAAACAGTAAAGAAAACTGAAATTTACACATCGACTGCCCCAACGAAAAGGGTCGTACATCGTTTTTTGAAACTTTTCAGGATGAACCAAACAAACATTCAAAATTAAATTCTTATTCTGTTTTTAACTTGGAAAATTTGGATAACATGCTATAACATGTATCCAAATTTTCAAATTGATATGTTAAAAACAGAATAAGAATTTAAATTTGAATGTTTGTTTGGTTTATCCTGAAAAGTTGCAAAAAACGAGATACGACCCTTTTCGTTGGGGCAGTCGACATGTGTTTGTTAAGTGACACAAGTCAAAAAGTAAACACACATTTAAGAAACATGTTATTTACCAGAAGATGGCTTACCCTATGTTTAACATAGTTTATCATAATAAAGTAGCTTATTTTCAAAAACTTAATATTGATATTATGTTAAAGTTTTTTAATAATATATTGTTTTAATTTGGTCTTTAAATATACTTCCATAACTCATTATTTCCCTAATAAAGTTTAACTTTATTTGTAAATTTATTTCCAAAACTATTATTTATTTGTTTTAATGTATATGGGCGCCCTTGTTTACATAATTATATATTAAACCCTTAAGTATAGAATTACAAATAAGAAATGAGAAATTTAACCAATAGATACTCACATATTATGATCTTAAAAATTATGAGTTAAAAACAGGTAATAAAAAGGAAGGATCCGCATTGACAAAAGTCATCATTCGTCTAATGGGTGGTGGGGAATATAAAAAGGAGACCTGCACACCTGGGAAATTGATATTATAATTTAATTTTAAAGTTGGTAATCATTTAAATTTAAAAAAACGAAAATACTTTATTATATTTGTTTACCAAGTTGTAGTTGATAACATGAATAAAATCGTAATGATATTTTTCCTCGGAAATAACCCACTTTAATCTAGTAATTAATAATATGCACACATTTGAGTGCTAATACTAATTATCTGAAATAATTTTTCTTAAATATTTTCATTTGGCTTAAAGCCTTAAAGTGTTTGATTTGAAACTTTGTCAGAAAAATAACTTAAAATGTATGTAGATTAATAAACAAATTATATCTATGATTGTTTTAGACGTTTTAAACAGTTTTTTTTCTTATTCTCCCAAAATTTTAAAAAGGGTTGATAATTAGTTTTGGAAATAAGCTACTATTATATAGTCTAACAAAAATACTCACAAAGGTTTTTTTTACTATATCAACGAATGTACATAAAACTTGTTTTTTTTTAAGTTAAGATATATTTCTTTTAGCTAAAAAAAGCTATCTTTGTAAATTTTCGTCAAACAAGCCTTTTAAATATTGATATTTGTGGTAGTTACAAAAATTCAAACTGAAAAAACCGTTAAATGTTTAAGGCGCGATTTCGATAAAAACAGCTTGTTTGAGGAAAATTTACATAGATAGTTTTTTTGTAGGAAACTCAATTTTCTTTAGGAATATGTATCAATAGAATTTTTCAGGCCAATAACTTACGAGTTTTAGATAAAAAAAAATGCCATTAGTGTAAAAACCCGTCAGTCGTCATGATAGGTATCTGAATGTTAAAATGATTAAAAGTTATACATTATAATGTGAAATAAATTCGATACACATCGTATTTGGGCTCATAAAAGTTTTTTAAATACACGCTTATATTGGTGTGCTCTTCTTGCTCCTCTAAATCCGGTCTTAAATTGATAGTACCATAACTGGTTTCGTTCAAATGGGTTCCATACAGTGATTCTCTTAAGTTGTTACTTTCAACATGTGCTATTGCCGTGTCATTATAAATTTGAAGGTAGTTTTAAAACCAAATCGGCACGCTAAATATCACAGAGAATAAATTGTTTTACACATATATGGTTTTTGGATTACTGTGTTCAATGTAGAGATAATTTGTAATATTTGTCATGGTTGATCGTTTGGCGTTAAACATAGAAGAACCCAATGATTATCTTCGATTCCTGAGTCTTCTTAGTACCATATTCCATATATATATATATATATATATATATATTTATATATATAATATGCTTCTATCATGTCTTTTATTGATTCAACGTCTAACACATTGTAATAAACTACGAGTATTAAAAAAATATTACATATGTTTTAAATTGTAAAGCACTAGGTTTTTTAATGGAATCTTTTATCAAAGTACTATGCCATAAAATTATTTTTTGTGCTTTGGTTCGTCCTATATTGGAGTATGGATATATAGTATGGAATTTTGTATTTAATTTTTGTATGTATAAGATATATTTTATTAATTTAATTAATTACTTTTGTAACATCTAAAAATAAGCACTCACTTTATTAACTGTACTTGAACCTTTAGGACGATCGTTTTAAAAAACAATTATATTTTAGTAGGTTAATGGTTGTCCAGTTGTAAATTTTAAATTTGTTTATAATTGTTTCCTTTTGGTATATTATTAGAATTATTAATTATTGAATACTGAAAACATCTTTTATTGTACTCTGTGCCTTTGCAGACATTCATTTTCTATAGAAATAAAAAAAAAAAATATTTCTTACTTATTAATGCTAGTGCTACCCAAGATACATAAAGCAGGTTAGTTATATTTTTTATGCTTCATCTTTCTACGACTATATTTTGATTCTTGATTTTCCTTAAAAAAGAAAGAATTAAAACATTTTTATACACAAAAAAAATCTATTTTTCAAACTTTACTAAGGATTTAGCCTAAATAATTTAATACTGAAGTAACTTAATCGATTGTTCGATTTAATCAACGTATGCAAGAAACCCTCCTAATAACTTTTGAACAAATTCTTATATTTTTTTTGTATTCAATTGGGAAAAAATATATGTCTTCTAGTCGTTCACGTGATAGAAAATTTCTTGATATGTGTTTAAATACTTGGTGATTCAATTAAGGATAGGACACTCATTTTCTCTTAAAATCAAAATTGTATGGTATTTCTTTTCGGAGATTGTTATTTTACAATATTATACAATATTCAAAATTGTATAAAATAATATTTTTAACATAAATTATTATTGTGTAATAAAAATCAAACAATGGTTTACATTAGTAATATTTTTATATTTTTAATTTACCATAAAAAATTCAACGGGACATGAAATTCTAAAGATCTTGTTTACTATACACTATTAGACAATATTCAAATTCATACTTTTTTTTATTTTTTTAAACTTAAATATTTAATTGTAAAAGTCATAACGTAATTCATATTATATTTTATGTATTATGGAGGATACGATTAGGGCTTATTGTCAACTCTATAATAAGTAGCTACCGTTGTTATCTATACATTGTAAATGTATGAAAATATTTTGTTAACAAATACCTGTTGACTGTTGATTAATTCACGCATCGCAACCTAGAAATTGACTACAGTCCAAATGTAATTTTCCTTCTTTTTTGGTTGATCCTTTAATAAATAAAAAATAAAAAGTTTGAATTCAGAGCTTAGAGAAATTTGTATAGGATAAAGCTCTAGGTATACCATTAGAATAATTTTTTAGACCGTAATAATACTAAATAATTATTACTCTTACTTATTACACTGATTTTTTAATGATAACATTAAAAATTAAAAAATATAGTCATAAGTAAATATTACTTTTTTAATAATACAAATAATTGGTATACACTGTGTAATACAATATTGTGAATTAATTTTTGTACTAAATATTATATTTGTATATTCTTCTTATATGTAATAAACAACAGTACATTATATTATATACTTGCTACTTTTGTCTTTTAGTATAGATAAGTAACTTTTGTTCAATAATATATTAAAGTATTATATACATCGTAACTCTTATATAGGATCATTAGATTTGTAGAGAAGAGTAGGTGCATAGCGTCACTCTATTAAAAACATAGGCCTGTAAGAACAGCTACCAAAGAAACTGTTAATACACATATTTAAAGATAAGGTTACATTAACACATTGATGGAGATCAGGGGTGAGGCCAGGGATAAAAAAACATTATAACTTAAAATTAGTGTTTTTCAAAAAGCCTACATTTATTTTTTTGTGAAATAAAAAAAAATTAATTATATCACTAATTTTAAGTCTTAAGGTTTTTAGAATCCTAAACTCCTTTCTGATCTTCACTATTTTATTTTTTAAATGTTTAAAGCATTTAAGCACTATCTATTGTGTCATCGTGTTCTTCAGTAAAATAATATGGAATTCTTTGAGTTGGGTCTAATATGGATCACTTTCATTCTCAAAAATTACCAGTTGTCCTATAAAATACAATTTTATTTTAAATATCATTTCACTTGTACATTTCATATTTATCGGCACATTTTATAAAAGTGTCAACAGATCTGAAATGTTTAGAAAATAATTGACTCTAGAGGTGTCTAGAGAAAAC